GGTGGACTTCTTGTCTTTTGGGAAATGCAGCGTGCTCTTCGGATCGGCGATTTCCCTGGGGTCACCTGGGTAAGCATCAGCAATGGACCGAGGTCCTCTTCCCCAGAACTGTCTATACCAAAAGATTTTTTCATTGGTAACTGAAGAAAGGTTACAACGAAGATTGTATGATGATCCCTCCAAGGCTGTAGCTGATCTTGGCTGGTCAATCTTCTGAGCTCTTCCCGCTGAACCTGTGACAATTGGAGAAAGGTAGAAATGTGATGGATCTCGCGTCTATTCAGTCTGCTCAGCATCGACCAGTTTCCCTGTCTCTCTGATTCTCACTGGATGTCAGAAGAAATGTAATTGTTGTTACTGGGTCAAATCCAAGGCATTGTTTGGTTCAGTTCCAGATTATGGGCAGTTCTAAGTGGCCAAGGAACCTGGAGTTTTAAAGAGCATCATGATAGTTCATTCAAGCTAATAGCAAACGAGCCTGGTGTAGTGTTTAGACTAGGATTGGGGAGACCCACGTTCGAGTGGCCAAAGAAGCTAGCTGGGTGGCCTTGGTCCAGCTACTCTCTCCCAGCCTACCTCACAGGGTCATTGTGAGGATAATCTGGAGGAAAGGAAAATTACATAAGCCACACTGGGGAGAAAGGTGGAGCATAAGCCAAGTAAATAAATAAATAAATTATGAGTCCATCATGTTAACTTTGCAATGCACAATATTTGGGGACTCACGAAGGGAGGTATTTGATACTTCCCAGTCGCCTCCAGCACAAAGCACAAAAAAACGCTGGCTAAAGATAAATGGAAATGTACAAAAATGATATTTAATGCCGAGTTCAATAATGCAGCCATATAACTATATAAAGCCAAGGTGTTCTTACAAGAAACAACGGCAGTACAGTAATACAGAAAAATACAGTCCCAACAATGTCAATGTGTCTCACTCCTGTTATATGACTGTATTATTGAACTCGGCATTAAATATTATTTTATACATTATTGTTTATCTTTAGCCAGTTGTTTTTCGTGCTTTGCACCATTTCATGTATGCTGGTTCCCCTTCTTTTTTGGTTGACTTCAGCTGTTTGACAGATAATGCCGGACTATGTTTTCTCTTCCAACTTTGTTTCATGTTTCACTAAATAAGCTTGATGTTTTGATGCATCAGAACACTTCAGGGTCCGTCCTGGACGACTGAGCCTCTGAGCTCTTCCCAGAAGAACTCTGGAAACCTGTCAATCAAATTCAGACTCTTTACATCTCTTTGACAGTCAGGAGCAATGCTCCCTCTAAGCTGTGGGGCCTTGTGAGCGACAATTCTACTTGGTGAGCTACTGGCATTAAAGGTGTGAGCAAGCGATTGGGCTGCTGCCTAAATTGGTTTGCCCTGAAGCCATCCTTCCAGAGCTGAGACCAAAAATGTGAGAGCTGGAGGCTAAAAAACCCCCTGTGAACTAACTCACACTAACTCAGCTTAGAGGGAACACTGGTCAGGAGGTTCCATATGAAGACCAGGAAGGGATGCAGAGCGAAATCAGGAGGCAAGAAGTGTTCTCAAATTCATGTTGCCAAGAGAGAGAGTGGCACGTATTCAAGCAACCATGGACTTCACAGAGGGAGAGTTTCCCACTTCCTCCTTCCACTTCTGGCCCCGTAGACCCCTGAAATTTTGTGAAGCCTTAGGAACAAAATGCAGTTGGAAGGAGATTTGGAGGAAATCACTGAACCCCTGCAGTGGAAAGGTGAAATGGGAGGATTGTGGAGCCCCTTGGGAAAGCCTTGGAAAACCTTAACTGGATTAAGTCTCTGGAACTGGATGGTTGGAGAGAAGCACTGACTCTGGGAGCCCCAGTCCTGTGCATGTTTACTCAGAAGTAACTCCCATCGAAACCACTGGTGTACGCTCACAAGTAACTGGCTACAGGATTGCAGTGAAGCCCCTCTTGTGAAGGCTCCCGATCTACTCTGCTCTGTGTTTTTGCTCCGCGTCTCTTGTGGCCGACCTCACTGTGTCACTCGCGGCGCAGAAGTAGACGGCAGAGTCGCTCAGCTGACTGGTGGCTTTCCTCATGTGGAAGGTGTTCAGGGTTTTATCATGTTTGGCATCGAAGCCTTGGCGTGCCCCTTCTTCCGAGCCATCTCGGCCCAAAGCCTTCAGAAAGAGCTTGGGAGGTTGGCCGGGATGCTGGACGTACCAGAAGGGAGAGATGTCCAAAGATGAAGACCCTGGATAGCGACATCCGAGAAGTATCTGGTGGCCTTCGAGGACAGCCACCGTGCCTTCGGTTTGGTTCACTGACTGCCCATCACTCCCTTCTGTAGAGAAGAAAATGGTGGGAAGGGGGAAGTCAGATGGGCAGGGTGTGTGTGAACAGATGGACATTTCCAGAAGTGCTCTGATGCTTTCAGTGGCTTAGGGTGTTAGTTATGAGCACTCTCCACAGTTTATTTGTGGTCATTTTATTGTACTTCATTTGTACCCCGATCTTCTCTCCCAACAGGGACCCAAAGTGGCTTATGGCATTCTCCTATACTCCATTT